GCAGTTTCCATTCTTCTCTGCCGTGATGAAATTGTGCAGAGTCAATCTCCTCAGGGCCTGTTGGAGCTGGACAGCGTTTGGGTTGTCGTTGAACCCACCCATGCGACGAATGCGACCGAACAGCAGCTCCAGATGGTCTTGAGAAAGCTTGTGCGCTAAGACGTACTTGAAGCCCTCGGAGAGCAACGCCTCACTGACGTCCATGACAGTTTGTGCCGCCAGGCAGAAGCCCAGAATCGGGGTGAACCGCCGCGTCCGGATGACTCTGTTCCCTGACCGAGTCTCCAGCCGACAGATGCTGGCACTGAAGTCAGCGAGAAACTGTCGCCGAATCCTGTCAGAAAAGGATAAACTTTATCCACCATGGACAACACATTGCATGATATAACACAAGGAAATGTCTATGCAATTTAGCGTAAGGTATCTCTCCACTCTCCTTGTATTTGACGTAAAATGAGCGTATTAGCCGCCAAGGGGTAAACACTTAAAACCCGTTTTTTTAAGAATTATGTTTTTCGGTAACAGAAAACCGCGGCACAGAGCGCCGCGATACTTGTTACAGCTCATGATACATTCACATCATCGTGTGTAACTTTTTTAACCCCAGGTCGCATAAAGGTCAGGTCATCAGGTCAAGCTAAATGACAAGGCCTCTAAAAACTTGGTGTTTCAGTCATCCCTAAAATATACGTCCAGAAGTTTGAAACTCAGGCTATTGCAAGAGGTAATCAGTACCTACCAACAATTTGTATGTCTCGGAATTTTGATATCGGTTACCTTAGGTCAGGTCAATTTTGCGACGTCATCGCCCATATCGTCGACTTAAAACAGCTAGCCGCTAGGTGATGTCATTGCACCATAATCTTACTCGATGTTTGCGGACGTTGTAGGCGCTTTTGGTCTTTTCCCAAACGGGCTGCTACCGTTCAAGTAGTCAAAGGCCCGATCGACCAGCAGAAGAAAGCTGGCTGTCGCGCCAGCACCGACGAAATCTGGATGGTGACTCTTTTCCAAGAACAACAGGGCCTTGGCGACTGAGCTGCTGAACACTTGTGAGGCTAGTTTAACCTTCATTTTGTTTCTGGCGTACTCGAGATGGAGGCGCGTCAGCTTGTTCGTCGCTCGAATGCCTTCATCCTCTTGCAGTTTGTTCAGCTTCTGTTGGTAAATGATGTAGCCACCATATGTAATGCGTCATAACCAAAGTAATATTATGAAATGCTGCTTTAATATTTGTATGTTGGTGACCTTAAGCCCTAGTGTAAAGACGAAGAAACCAGACTGACCTCCAGATGATGTTGAAGACGATGCTGTAGTCGACGATGATGAGAAGAAGACGACGAAGAGAAGTTGTGCACAAATTTTCGGCCCTAGGCCATCCTCAGGTGATGAGAGGGGAGGTAGAGGTAAGGAGGGATGGAGGTAGAGGTAGGCTATACATCCCTCGAGGGATGTATAGCCTAAGACAAGGCACCCTAAAACCGCGCTTCCCGGATGGTAACGCGTCCATGCCACCAGCCGCGTCTGGGGAGATCGAGAGAAAACTGTCGGCGCTGAAAAAGAAGTTGATGGTTATCTATCGCAATCACAGAGCCTCGGGGAAAAACCACACTACCCTTCAGCGACACGCCATCAGCCAGTTCAGGAAGAACGACGACCTGGTTCTGAAACCATCGGACAAATGCAAAGGATTTGTACTGATGACGAAAGACGATTACATCAGCAAAGCCAACGCACATGTCTGAGTCTCAGAATATGAGCCGGTCCAAAGAAACCCGACACCCAAGCTCGAGGCTAAAACCAAGCGTCTCATTGGTGACACAATGGCCGACAAAGTGGAGAAAAGCATGATACAGGCATTGTTACCCCAATGCTCTCGCACGGCCGAGTTTTACGGTCTGCCCAAAAACCACAAGCCAACGGTCCCTCTGAGACCCATCATATCCGCATGCGGGGATCCGGTTGATAAACTCACCTGGCTGCTTGAGCGTGTGATCAACCAGCTGCTGCCATTCGTTCCGGCCCATCTCACGAGCACTGACGATTACCTCAAACGGCTTCACCACAACTTCCCAGACAAACTATCAGACGGGAGTATCATTTTTAGCGTGGACGTGACCAATCTATACGGGAACATTCCGGTAAATGAAGCGATCGAGACAGCCACTGAACTCCTAGAGAGGCATGCAGACAGCATCTGTATGTTCGGTCTGACACTGATCGATGTTAACCCTCGCCCTGGCAGGGGGGGGGGGGTCGATGCGACCCCCCCCTCAGGTTTTTCAAAGATAGCGTAAAAACGGCGGCGCTGCGCGCCGCCAAATTTGGCACAGCCTATGGGGCAACCTTTTTACATATGACCTGAAAATTTCAGGTCCGAGTGACCTAGGGTCAGGTCACCAGGTCAGAAAAACCGGTACAAGGTCATGGTCAAATTTCAATTTTCTTTTTGCACCTGTCCAACCCACAGTTTTGTCACTGACCTGAGGTCAGTTAGAGGTCATTACGTCGTAATGTTAAGCCTATCGGAAAATACTAAATTCGGAAAATACTGGAGATATCCGCTTCGTTCCATCACTTTTGTGCTTTGAAACCACGGTACTTATAAGCAGGTCACTTGGTGCTTCTTTGTTTGGTGTACTTATCCATGGGTCAGGTCAAATGAGGTCAACTGAGGTCAAATGACGTTTTTGCCAATAACTTGGCACATAATGACGCTAGAGCTTAAAAAATGGTATCATTGTGTTACTGGTGATCAGCCGAATCGAATGATATGCGATATGATGCAATTTGGTTAACTTGAACTTAATTTATTAATTTAAGTTTGCTTAAAATTTAAGAAAAACTTAAAGTACACTTAAGCAAGCTAAAAAGTATATCATTAGACGCGCCTTGACGTGCTGAGTTCACTGGTGCTTTTCTTTTTGCTCTATCTTAATTAGATCAAAAGTTATAAGCGAAAAACTTTTGACCTGTTTTTAGCGAAATTTTTACATTTATACCCCCCAAAACCCCCCTAAATATTGACCTAGAGCAACCAAATTTGCACAGGGGCGAGAACACCAGGGGGCCCACCTACCTACCAAATTTGGTGTTTCTAGGTGCCATAGGAGCCAATCGCGAGGGGGGGCGACCCCCCCCCCCCTGCCAGGCCGTGTTATGAAAAATGCCCTGCCAGGGCGAGGGTTAAGACGCTTCTCTCTCACTTACCGGGGTTACATGAGCAAGTAAATGCGTATCAGGAACGGATTTTCCTATTCGCTCACCATTGTAGTCCGTTTGTAATTCGTATTAACTCTGCTCATGTAACCCCGAGCACTGCCTTAACAACAATTACCTTCGATTCGGTGACAGGTACTACCGACAAACGAGGGGAATTGCGATGGGCAGCCGCGTCGCTCCCCCACTGGCGGTGGTATTCATGGGAAAGGTAGAAGAGCGTATGCTGAGCTCACCCCGCCTGCAACCCACCCTCTACCTCAGATACATCGATGACGTATTTGGAGTGTGGCCGCACGGAGTAGAGGAACTGGACGCGTACTTACAGTTCATCAACACCGTACACCCGTCCATCACATTCACAGCTGAGCGCTCAGATACGAACGGAGGACAGTTACCATTCTTAGACACTTTGGTCACAATCCACCCAGATGGCACCTACCAAACTGAGCTCTACTACAAACCCATGGCAGCCCCAATCATTATGCCATATGACTCTGCTCATCCCGCTCAGATGAAAAAGTCTGTGCTGAAGGCACAGCTGAAACGAGCGGTGCGTTTGTCATCTGACCCCGCCGCAAGGGACCGGAGTGTCGCCAAGGTGACAGATCTGTTCATCTCATACGGTTACCCGCCGCGTCTGGTTCGTTCCTCTGCGGCCCAGGTGATGGCGATACCTCGGGAAAGGCAGACCGAACAGAGCCGGGCGCGGCGGCGCCAAGATGACCGAACGTTCATCTCACTGCCATTCATCGATGAATCGCTCGCTCACAAAATCCAGGGCACAGTCCGGGCGTCAGGGCTGGCATTCCAAGTGGCGTGGAAAAAACGACAATAGCCTCAAAAAGAGCCTAGTGCGCTCCGCTCTGGAACCGCCCCCCTGCCCTGGAGGGGGTCGCAAATGCGCGACTTGTATGAGCGGTCTGGGTGGCAGGTGTCACACAAAAAATGTGGTCTATGAGATAGCCTGTGAGCTGTGTGAAAAGGTAAAGACGCGGAATATTTATATCGGAGAGACAAGACGAAGCGTGCGACTGAGATTTAACGAGCACCTCCGAGACGCGCGGCACAGAAACCCGGACACTCCCCTCGGCGACCACATGACTACCTGCCACCCAAACGAACAAACAGACATCACCAACTGCTTCCGCACCAACATCTTGACGGTATGCAAAGACGGCCCAAACAGGAAAATCGCAGAATCGCTATTTATTCGAGACCGCAGACCATCGCTGAACACCCAAACCACATCATGGCCGATATTATAACCGGCGGCTGAAGGAGTTGCCAGTCCGAACGGTGACCGACAGATGGCGTACCGAGACAGGTGGCGCTGCAGGTCACCTCGCGCGCCAACTGGTGTCATTTCAAACCTCCGTCGGGCGCATGGGTGTAGTTTTCCAAAAATCATTGGGGGTGCTCAATAGCTTTCAAAAAGGCATGCCATGTTTTTTCGTAGTTTTTCTTTCAGCTGCTACTGTAGTCATTATGCAAGCAATGCTATCTAAAATATTAATTGTTATCAAACGGGCTTCGTTGAGGAAAGTAAATATTATAACTATACTATCCAATATTACAACGGTTTGGTTATAATGTTTAGTTTCCTCAGCGAAGCCCGTTTGATAACAATGAACATTTTAGATATCTATTAACCTGAGGAAAAGAATAATGACGCTTCGGCAAGCAATGATGTTTAATCGGTTAGACAACTTGTTTTAATAGCGCCACTGTAAAACGATTTGGGCTCACCCAATGCTTTATGCTCGTTAAAATAAATTCGCTTAAACACTTTCGCTATATTCATGCTTCATAGCCATTTCAGACAAGGCGATAAAGCGAAAAAGCAATACCCACGATAGCTGGGCCGAAGTCACTGCTCGAGGTTCCTGCCTCCGGCCATGATGCACCTGCACGTCAGCCCCAGCCAAATACGTTCACCCGCTGAGGGGTGCGAGTTGCGAACTCACGCATCAGCGCCTGACGGTCAAGGGCATGCAGCTGCTCTGCATACACTGCACATACCGCTGCGTGGTTCAGCCGGGCCTGGGACATGTTTGAGCGCAGCCAGTTTTTGAGCCTGCGCAGCTGGCTGAATGAACGCTCGGCCGTGCAGGTTGTGGCCGGCGCTGTGAGCACCAGCCGGAGGAGGCCGACACACTCGGGCAGCAGCTGCGCCAGGTGCGGCCGGCGAAGGGCGCTGACAACGTCGGCCAAGCTGCCGAGGGGAATGCCTTCGTCTCGGCAAACATCCTGCAGCATCTGACAGTGCAGCGCCAACCGCCCCTCATCCAGTTGGTAGAAGGCTGCGGTTGCCGACAGATCATCGGCGTTGGCCGTCAGCAGCGCCGACTCAGCCTGAGAGACCCGCCGCTCATCGGTGACAGCGGCGCCTCTACCTTCACCAGAGCCGTACCGCTCTCCGAGGGCCGCGCAGAGACGATCCACGGCAAGCAGGTACAAGGGGCGGTAGTGGTCCTCGGGTGTTTGAGGGCGGTATGGCTCGGATCCGTCATCGAGCCGGCGCGGTGGCCGGATCACGCGCTTCAGCGACGGAGGGCTCACGCCCAGCTCCTCGGCTTTGCCCACAGTAGACGCGTAGAAGGAGTCGAACCGGGACCGCTGACCTGACACGGCACTGTGTAGAACATCCACCAGCTGGAGGTTGGCAGCCAGTGTCTGCTGGCTGCCCTGGACGCTCTTCATGACGGGCGTCGTCATGCGCAGCAGATGCAGCGCCAGGGACAAGCCGAAGAAGAAGTCAAACGACTGCATGCGCCGTGCGTGGCCACTGGCAGTGCTCGCCTGGTCCGGCCTTGTGCTGGGATCATCGGCGATGGCCTCCAGGCTGCTCAGCACCGCTGTGTAGTTGTTGATGACGGAAGCCAGTGCCGGTTCACTACATGTCCACCGCGTTGGACACAGCGGTCGGAGGGACTTGTCTGCTCCGAAGTGTATCAAGCAGGAGAGGCGCTTAGGAGAGTCCCGGAAGAAGCCGATCATCCGGCCAGTCTCCTGGATGGTGTCACACAGGGGACGCACGCCGTCCATGCAGTCCTGTACAGCCAAGTTTAGACGGTGGGCGGTGCAATGGACGAAGACAGCGCGTGGCTCCTCTTGCTTGATCAGGGCTTGTACGCCTGCAGACGGAAAATGTGGTTAAGATTAATCGAATATATAGCCAATAAACCGGTAAATAGGGAAAACAAGATGTTAACCCGGCGGCCGCTGGGCCTCCGCGCCACCCGCCGGCCGCTGGGGGGGGGGGCATATAGTTGCCCCCCCCCTTTACTTCTGCGACGATATCGTCGCAACGCGAAGAGATAGAGAAGCGAAACTTTGCACACATCTTCCTGAATACCTAGCCGATGTTGTGTCCAAATTTGGTGTTGATCCCATTTGAAATGACGTCACAGTGACGTCATAAGTGAAATTATAGCTTTGCGACTCTCATATTCCTCACGATACATCAGATATACGGGACCGAATATAAAGGACCGATTATTGGTCAGAAAGTAAATGGAAGTGTAGTTAGATGTTTTAGGATGACAGCAGGTGCTGTCTAGTTCATTTACAGTTGATTTTCATGCTCAGCGTCATCAGAAACGGTCCATATCGGAAAACGACAAAACTTTATGACGTCACTGTGACGTCATCTTAGGTGCTACAACCACCAAACTTTCCTCAAACATTGCCTAGGTATTCATTTGAAGCTATGCCAAGTTTCACGTTCGTAGCTCATCAGGTTTCGGAGATATTTCACAAAACGTAAAGGGGGGGCAACTTTATGCCCCCCCCAGCGGCTCGTGGGTTAAGTCGTTTAAAGGGATTATCAGGGTTTCCAAATTGAAACGGATGGATTTCTTTTGCCACTTTTGATGAACACAATAATGAACGTCTTTTGTCTGTGCCACTTTAATATTCACTTCAATATTCACTTTAAGATCCATTTTTGATTAGACACGAGGTGACGAGAAGTTCTCAGTTACCGTTTATGGAGGTGAACACAACAAATTTAGAGCTGCACATGGGTGTGCTCCAGGGCCTGAAGTGGTTATGCAATGCCTGACTTTTGAGAACACTCGTGATGAATGAATAACTCATTATTGCGATAGTTTGAAGTTTTAACGGCATAAGTGTGATTGCCTCGCGTAGGTATTTGCAATCCTGTCCACAACAAAATATTCAGGATTTGCACGGAAAATATGCGCTTACTAGTTATTGTTGCCAGTTTTATATGACATAATGCTATACTTTTTACCTTTGAACTTCCCAGACATATTGGCTGCGCCGTCGTAGCACTGTCCACGCAGTTGCTTGAGGTCCAGCTCAATACGGAGCAAGGCGTCCTTGATGACCGTGGACAGAACGAGTGCGGTGGTCGACTCAACGCTGTAGAGACCGATGAGCTGCTCTTCGACCTCCAGCTGCTTGTTCACCGAGCGCAGACAGATAGCTACCTGCTCGGTACCTGCGCTGTCGCGAGTCTCATCCGCCATCACAGCAAAGACGTCCTCACGCACACTGTTGGCGATCTGACGGACGATGGCCGATGCCATGAGTTCCAGTATCTCGTTTTGTATTTCTGGAGACGTGAAGGTCTGCTTCCGCTTTCGCCACGTCTTCAGCGCTGGGCAGGTGCGCTCAGACTGGTCCAGAAGTCTTTGCAGGTTGCTAGTCTTCTCCTCCCTTCGCCGCAGTGGTAGTCCTTGTCCAGCCAGGTATGCGATAGCACTAAATATGCCATCGAGCGCTTCTCTTGCCTCAGCCACGTCCTTGGCTTTTCCCGTGACAGACATCATGGCAGTCGCACTCGGTTCCGCTGAGCTCTTTATGCGACTGACAGCAGTTTTGTGTGTAGCACTCTCTTCGTGCTTGGAAAATCTTTCAAGTGCCTTAGCCCAGGACCGGAAACCCACAGTAATAAACGCTCCATCGGTCTTCAGGCCACAGTCGAGAAGCTTCAAGCGATGCGCCTTTTTGCATAGGCTGCACGTTACTGAGTCGGACGGGCGGTCGTACTCTATCCAGCTGTACGCCTTTTTCCAGCGATATTGGAAGCGTCGTTTAGAGCAGCCTGGTTCACTTGACGAGGATGTGGCTGGGAGTGCTGCCGATGACGTAGATGGTGAGCTGAGATGCGACGATACTGCAGGCTCTGTGCCGGTTGGATCGTCTGTGGAAGAATTCAACATATTATAAACATGGAGCAAACGATTCAGCGCGTGAAGATTGCAAACAATGGTAGGCAGACAGAGGAAAAGGTAGACATACGACTTGCTCAATTACGAGACTCCCAATCAGACCAACTGTGATGCTTAGTTTCGTTTGTATGTTAAATCGTAGCGACCGACCTCCATGCATTTACGGTTGGCATTGCTTCTGTACTGATGCCACCTGGTGGCAGCGGGGCGAACTGCTGGTTGCCTGTCGGCGTGCCGTTGCGCGCTGTTGAAAGTGTTCCGCGGACGCCGCCTTGTGGGGGAGGGGGGGGGGGGAGGGGGTTCTTAATCTTGGCGGTGTGCCAGTTATTACTTTCTTTTATATTCTAGCTGTGCAATACCGGACCATTCCGGAATTCGGTCAGTGCGGACACTTACTTATTGGTTCCGTTTTTTTATTTTTTATTTTTACGTTAAACCCGCACCGTGCTGGTGGACCGGTGGTCGACGGCAGGCGCTTACCATTACCATAATTGCTGGCATGTCTACTTACGCCTAGAAGTAGAATATGTTAGAAGATAATGTTTTTCTACTATGTAGAACTGAATACACATCTCTACCACATGGTACCCCTTACCTGGACTATCCGCACGATCCGCACAAGCAGGAGGTGAGTCGCTGTGCTGGGAAGGTAATGCAGACTCTTCTGTGACCAATCTGAAATTTATGTCCAAATTAGATATCGATAAACGTTGTATACATGAGGTTTGCACAAAATGATCCAAAAAAGCATTTATCAAAGCCAATATATCCATTATACAATATATCCAAGATTGTAGGCATTCAGGTACATGACCGATGAGCGAAAAATGCAAAAAAGCAACATTATTTATCATTTAATAACAACTAGCTAGTGCAGGCCCAAAACAAACGTTTGAAATGATATTAGATGCCAAGTTAGATGGGAGATGCTTCATTCCCCATTCGATCCCCTCCCCCAGCCCCCGGCGTGGAAATCAAGAACCCCCAGGGAGGCGCGAGTTAAAACTTAAAAATGCTGATCTTTGTGCCCCGAAATTTTAATGACCTCGAAGCTAAGGTGCAGGGTCAGACGGGTCTGACAAATGACACCCTTTCCCATGTTACGTTCACGCTGACTTCCAAGATGGCATAGCATGCACGAGCGAGTCAATATCTCAACCTTTTTTCATTTAATTAAATTGTTTTTTTTCGCTTTGTTTACACTATAGCGCCGATAACTTTTTAAATATGGCTACCTAGATGATACGTGATATTATACCCAACCGTCCCAACCTTTATCTGTCTGCCAGTCTGCACTGGCCCCGTGCCGTCTCCGTCTATGCTACTGGCACGGGGCCAACCATATCCACACTGAACACTTATATAAGGTAAAAGGCAATTATATCTTACCTGGGGCGAAAGAAGTTGCCGATTGTCATCTGTTTCTTCATACTAGTGATCGCTTTCACCGCCAAAAACTCAACTTTGCAAGCGGCAAATGCCCGAGAACCGACCACGGCAGCCGGCAATGCGCGGCGATGTGAAGCAGCATCCTATATGGCATTGAGCTGCATACGGCACGTAAATAAGGTGGTCCCGTGGTCATTTTCGAGCGCAGCGCACGTGCAGTTGTGGCGAGGGTACCGCCAGAAATTCTGGACCCAAGCGATTTTGGAGCCAATACAAAGTCTATGGGAAAATGGTGCATTTTTATTTGTTTTTCCTCTCACACCTTAACACTTGAGATTTTGTCAAAGATGCTACCTGATTCATGTGCAGAATTGATTGGTCTTTGAAATGGTTTCAATTTTAGAAATAATCACCGAAGTTTTTGAACACATTGATATTTGAGAGCAAGCTGTGTTTAAAATTTAAATTCAGGTCCTACTCGACTTTTGGTAGGTCTGCGCTTAGGCAGTCTGGCCTGCATAGCTCTGCACGGATGAGCTGGTAATTGGTATTGATTGAGGGTTATACAACATGACGCCTCACGGGACTGGGCCAGGCTCGATGACTACTCTCCGGACTTGGGTTTCGTGAAATCTTGCACATTTCCCTGGAACTTCAAATAATAACGCTACTTTTTGTGCTATACTTAAATTTATTCACCTGAAAGTGCACTTTGAATGCATTAAAAAATGGAAAATAACAGGTTAATTTAAATAAACGAAAAGCATCGACTTTTAAACCGTTAAAAAAAACTTATAATCATTGTGGGTGCTTCATTAGTGGCGCACTTCTTTCAAATTCAATCCTTGCGCTGCGCCCTGCCCCGCCGGTTGTCTAGGCCAAGTCTAGGCGCCGTTGCCGGGTACGTGGATTTCTTTACACGTGTTCGCTGAGATACGAGATTTGGGTGACTTGTAGGTAGATGATAATTTTGGTTAGACTCAAGGCCGCTATGCGATACCTGTATCAAACACTATTCTGTTTTTCTTTAGTTTTTTTTCCTTGATCAAAAACTGGCACTGCTATTGTATGTGCTCTGATATACTTTAAAAGCTTTATCGACAGGAGTAAACATGAATATCACTGGGCATTTTAAATGTGGAGAAAGCCATGTCCATGTGTGTTCACGTTCATGCTACTGTCTAGGTAGTTGTAACAACCGGGGTATATAGAACAATGTAGCAACATGCTCTCTTGATCTCTTGAACTGGGATCTTTGTCATCATGTCCATACTTGATTCCTTGACCTGGGTTGTAATGAACTTTAAGACTATTACTTATTAGGTACAGAAAAACTGGATATTGTTAGGCTGCTGATATGCTTTTACCTAAACAGAGGAACTAAGCATGATGTTGTGAATGTGGCAAACAGCCATCGGCATTGTTTGCCAACCTTCATTTATGTTCGATTTCTTAGAGATTATGGGGCTCTTAGGTACTTAGTCCCAAGCGCCATAATATCAGATGTAATGCAAAGTCAAATATCATGCATATTCATTTGTGGTAATTTATTCACTGTATGTTCTCTTAGTTATTGAATTGAGTTAGCATAGTATTTTCATGATTCAATGAGCTCATTACAGTACTAGGAGATGAGAATACTGATTATTGAGGGCCTTGAGTCAGCTGGGGATGTTTTGAGGAGGCTGGGGGTGCTTTAAGGAGGCAGGGGGTGCTTTAGGGAGGCAGGGGGTGCTGAGCTCAGGATTGGGGGTGCTTGAGCACCCACAAAGAGATATAAAGTTACGCTTATGGTCGGGCGTCAGTTGGTGCCTCGCCGCGGCGACCGTCGGAGGTGGTCTTCTTCTTCTTCTTCTTCTCTGCGCGGTCGCGGACCGCGCCTAGGGCGCGGCCGGCGGGGGCGGGTCGGTGGCGACCTGCACCCGCCCCACTCTTCTCAAGAAGTTGATGACATGTTCGGCCGGCCCCGAGAACACTTACTCCAGGGTAGGACAGTGCCCCCAGAAGCCGGCCCTCGCCGCCACGTGTGCGGGGCACCCGACCAGGAGGTGCTCCACGTCCTCCTCCTCCTCGCCACAAGCTCGGCAGGTCGAGTCTGCGACCAAACCGAGACGATGGGCTGTGGCTCGCACCAGTGGGCAGTATCCAGTGCGAAGCTGGGACAAGGTGGCCTGGCCCCACCTGTCCAGCTCATCGTGGCTCGGAGTAGGGTCTCGGTGAGGGTGTCGCTGCGCTCGTGCGGAGGCCAGCTCCGATGTCCAGCGGCGAATAGCTGTCCGCGCGCTGGGTAGGTCAATCGGGGCCTCCTCTTGAGCGCAGTCGGCGGCGGCTTGGTTAGCGAGGCGGTCAGCTGCCTCGTTGCCGGCGAGGTCGGCGTGGCCCGGGACCCAGTGCAGGGTGATGTCCGTCCCTGCGGCTGTCAGCGCGTCTATTAGGCCCCAGACGCGCTGACCGATGGCCGACTGTTGGTCATCCGGGCCGCGGCTGAGTAGCTGGAGCCCCGACCGGGAGTCTGTGCAGAGCAGCACTCTCTTGATGAGTGCTCTCGAGGGGGCCGGTAGCTCCTGGAGGCGTGTCAGAGCCTCCGTCATTGCCACCAATTCCGCCCTCATGCTGCTGCACACTCGACCGGCCGGTGCCACGCACTCGATTGTGCGTCCCTCGCGGTGGAGCTCCAGGATCGCTCCACCGCCGCCTTGGATGGTGCCAAGGCTATATAAACCAGGTAGAACGCTCCCGAAGAAAAAGTGGTGACAAGCAATATTTAGTTGCCGCGACCCTCACTTGTTCAAGACTATATCCGCAAGCAGCATTTACAAGCTAGCGGAAATCGACCAATCGGCGTTCGGCAATACTCAACGCTGATTGGCCCGATGCTCGTGACGAAATTGCGGGGGACTGCAGCTACTCCCCTATGGCGTTTCATTGACTTATGACTTTTGAAGGGGATTTGTATCAGTTTTTGTTGGGTTTGAGGCCATTTTTGAGCTTGGATATTCTTTCCGTGACCTTTGACTATATAATAACGACATTTAATTATGACATTTCTATATACTACCGGTGTCACATCGGCCAAAAAGACCGTAAGTACATGGGATAGACGGACCACTGCTGATGGGGCCACACATGTCGGCGTGTGGTCATCGGAGGCCCATGAGGGCTCGACATGGGCCCTTTATGGGTCGGTATAGGCCCAGTGGGTCCAGTGCAGGCCTACCAGGGGCCGGTGGCATATAATGTAAGGCTGTCTCGGGACGAATTGAGGGCTCATGGGGGCCATATAGGACCATTAGGGACAACATAAGCCAATCAGGGGTCCATTTAGGCCAATAAAGGCGCTTCAGGGACTTGAAGAGGCCATTCAAGAGCCGTGGTGGGCCCATGAGGGGACGGCATTGGTCCATCAGGTGCAGTCAGGGGATGTTGTACGGGTTTCTCAGTGACCCATTTGGGCATATCAGTGACCAATTTAGACCCAGCAGGGGGCTTTGTAGACCTATCAGGGGCTGGTGATGGTTTATCGGAGGCCAGCGTTAGTCCATCGGGGCACGGCATGCCCATTAGAGGTAATTGCGGG